GGGTAGTGGCAGAGCTTGATGGAGACCTGCTGCTTGGAGTTGCAGTGATCACAGAATTGGTCGAGTGTAGGGCAGTGGTGGAGACTTGAGATAAGGTAACGCTATTCTGTCCTGGAATGGCAGCAGAGCATGAACCAGAGCTGAGGTGGGGAGTAAACTTTTGGTCATTCTCACAGTACTTCTCTCAACACAGTTGGACACTGGGTTACTTTCTGACCTAATTGGAGCCAGAAATTGTAAGAACTACTGGGTTGGAGGGCAAATCAGAGCAAGGAGAAAATATAACCTTTGCTAACAGGAGAAATAATATCAGGAGGACTGGGGATTGGTCAGCATCGGGCAGCCCCTGGGTCTGCCCCCCTCCTCCTACCCTGCTGGCAGCCTCTCGCACTCTTCCCATACACCTCTGCTCCTGGCTGGTCCATTTCTTCACTCCTAAGACTTACTCTTCCCCACTCCCTTCCCTCCTAGACTTCTCTTCAGGACATTCTCTTCCCCTGCACCCCCTCTCCTGGGGGCTGCCTCTTTTCAGCCTGTCCTGAGTCTCTCTCCTTCATTCTGGTACCAACCTGTTCACACCTGTCTGCAATTTCTGACTCTCATGGTGCCATCTGCCAGGAAATAAAACCCACAGAAAGTCCAGGAATACCACATGAGCAGGGCAGCCCCCTCCAAACCTCAGGCCCCTCACCTGGAAGCACTGGAAGAAGCAGCAGCAGGAAGAAGGGGGACTGGATGCCAGGTGTCATGGTGGTGTTGAACTGGTGGGGAGGGGGCAGAGCAGACTCCAGCCGCACTGCAGTGAGTTGGAGCGGCACTGGCGCCTGCTGCTTTATACCAGTCCCCCCCTTCCGCCCTAGGCACAGCCGGAGCAGGTGACAGGTGACAAAACTCCGCCCCCCTTCCCCCTTCCTTACCTCCTGCCTTTTCCTCCTCCTCCCCAACCATTCCTGAGTAGGGTACATGGGCTCCAATCACTCAACTTCTGACAACCTGTTTGTTCTTCACTGGCCTCCCCCTTTTACCAACCACTCCCTGACTCCAGGAGGTGGGTGTGGGGGAGGGGGTTAGGGAGCGTGACCCCCCTCCCCCCTCCGTTCTACTTTTAGCCCCAGCACAACAGCTAAGGTGAGGAAAGGGAGCAGAGAAGGGGGGCCTAGTGAAGGCCCTGACAGCAAGGCCAGGAGGCCTACCCCGAGGTCCGCCACTCTACTTCCCTCCCCTACGGGTCCTTTGAAGCCCCACTCTGCGTGCTGAGAAGAAATAAGAGTGCTTAATAACGAGTGAACTAGGTGCTAGTTTTGGACTCCCTCCCTGCCCCCCTCCACTTCCCGGAATAGCCCCACCCTTCTAACCGCTCCCTGTCCCGTTCCACACACGGTTCTACCCTGAAACCCACAGTCCCCGCCCCGGCCGGCCGGGCTTTCCAGCAGCCTGGTTCCCTCCTCGGCTTTCTCCCGAGAAGGGGGCGGGGGGAAATTTCCACTTAAAGAAGGTCGAAACCTGGGCTCTGCCGAACCCTAGGGTTCTTCCTTTCCAGCCTCCACCTCCAGTTGCTGCTGGGAGCTCCTGCCCTCTAGTGGCCGACCCTGGCGTCCGGAGGGGCCCGATCCAGGGGAGAGGAGGTTGGGCGACATTGACTGAATGGGGGCAGTGAGATCCTGGGGAAGCTGGGCCCTGGCGGGAAGTATCAATGCCTTGGAAGGAAAGCGGGGGGGGGGCGCCACACACAACCGTGGGGTCGGGGGCAGTGGGTGGGGACTCAGACGCTTGGGGGTGGTGTCTGGAGGAAATGATTCTAAGTGGGTGGGGTCCTGAGGCTTATAGAAGGGGCGTCGAGGTCTCTGGGAGAGGACATCGGAATGTGGGAGGGGGGAGTAGGACAGGTTCCGTGAGGGTAGTCGCGGATTTAGGAGACCGAGTAGGTGGAGCGACAGAATGGAATTTAGGAATACAACTGTCCTCCGGGGAGAGAGTGGTGCAGGTGCGCGAGCGTTGGGAGAGCAAAACCGTACGTGAGGGTGCGTCATTTGGGAGAGTCGAAAGGTACTTTGAAGGCCGGAAATGTTTGCGGGGAAGGGAGGTATTTGGGGCCAGTGCGGCACGTGGTCTCAGGGTGTCGGCTGGGTCCGGGGTTCCCGCTGGTGGCCTAGGCCAACAGAGGCAGTGTCGAGGGGATGGGGAAAACAACTCTTAGCCCCGACAACACAGACTGGAAACCAGTACTTTAAGAACATTCCTGCAAGGCGCGAGACTGGAGGGAAGCCCAGGCAGGAGCGGGGGACCACCACTCCCGCGCCCGCTGCTCGGCCTCCACGGCACCGCTTTGTGCCGCGCCGTAGCCCGTGGGCGGCGCTGGGCGCGGAACGTCCGCGCGCTCGCAAGCGGGCTGGAGGCGGGGAAGGCCCCCCACCAGCCCGTTTGAGAAAGTAGGAATATCTAGGTGGGCGGCCCCAAACCTCAACTCTGGAGTTGCCTGGCAACAGCCATTCAGTTCGGTTGCTGGGACACGCGTCACCATGGTGACGGCTCCGCGCCGCTCAGTCTGAGTATTTAAAGAGCAAGCGCGCGCAACGCCCGGGCGTCGGAAAGCGGCGTTCCTGGGCACCGCAGTCTCCCCTTCTCCCTTTACCCCTCCCCTTTACCATCCCCTTCACCCTTAGAGGCGCCAAGTCTTTGGCCTGCTTCTAAGGTGAACCCAACTCCCCAGAGTGCACCCCAGTCCTTGAGCCCGGCTGGCTTCAGGCTGTAGGGAGTGGGATCCCGGGCCCCGGGCGGGCGGGAGGGACGGGACGCGGTGCAGTGTTGTTACTTCCCCCGCCAATATTGCACTCGTCCCGGCCTCCGGCCCCCTCGGCCCCCCGGCCTCCCCCTCTCCTCAAGCGGGGCAGCCCCCGCCCTCCTGGCTTTCGATACCGGCCGATCTGAGATAGACTGGAGTGTCGCCGCTGCCACCGTGAGTAAGTGGGGCTGGGAGGACTTTAGCCATCCTCTGAACAGCACCTCATCCTTCACTTAACCCCTTCTGGCACCTTCTCCACCCGCGACCCAAATCAGCCAAACTTTCCTTAGTTCTCTAACTTCTAGCCTACCAGCTTTCCTCTGACGCCCTCAGGTTCCTTCTTGATTCCCACCCTATCCCAGAAAACCCCTAAACAAGCAATTGCACTGGCTTAGAAAACAACTGGAACTTTATGGCAATCTGCTATTTTCTTTCCTGGGGTTAGTACCTGAGTAATACCCCTTGAAAATGTCCCAACCCCTGAGCAGTGGGGGTGCTGCCCCACTGGGGCTGAACTGAGGGTGCCAGAGGAGGGTCTATGTTTGGCTGAGGGGCTGTAGTTTAGACCTCAGAGTCTCCAGGATGGACCCCAAGGCCAGAGAGTCTAAAATCAGGAATCCGGTGGCCACCTCCTCACACCCTTCCCTGCAGCAGCTGCCTCCGGAATGGCTCAAAGTCCTCGGGCACTGTGTCTGAAGAAGGGGAAATAAGTAAGGTCAGAGAAGGCGACTCTCCCAGGACATGTGAGGGGTCAGGTTGATCTGTCTAGAGCCTCACCATTGCATCGATACTGGAGATTGGACCAAATGATGTTTTCCTGGGAGAAGCAGAATACACCAAGACGCCCCCCTCGCATGGATGTGTCAATGATCACCCCAGAATCCGCCACTAGCTGGGGACCCTCATAGAGCTTCACCCTGTCCAGGATAGGGGCGTCCATTGGTGCTAAGGTGCCAGTGGGTACAGTGCCTCCATGTCCCAGGCCCTGCTCATCCCAGCCCCCCTTGAGCTCACCAGGCTGGAGAGAGAAGGGAGAGGAGGAAAGGGGAGGGAAGGGGGTGCTTTTCTCAGGCCGGGGCCCCTAGCTCTTTGTCCAGCCCCTTTTGCATCTCAAAGCACCAGCCGCATTCCAAGCGAGGATTGGGTTGCCATGGCAATGAGCACAATGGGCAGGGGGGTGAAGTCACCCGCTTCCCAGGCTCTAGTCAACCCCCCTTTATCCCCAGCTCTGGCGCCCCACAGCACTAGGCACCTTAAAGGGGCACCAACCCCAGGCCCCTGGACTCTGAGTTCTTGACTATGAAAAAAGTCCAGCCTCCAAGCACACCCATTTCCCCTCCCTTCTCAAGTTGTCCCCATCAACTAGGGACACTTGTGGGAGGGAACGGCCAAGTTGTGAACTGAGAGGCCTGGGAGGTCTGGGCCTCTGTAAAATCCCTTCCAGGTCAGCTGCTGATGAAGTAGGCTCTGGGCTGTGCCACTTAGGGGGTTGGAAGTGATGGGCCCCGTACAGACTGGCCTGGGGTCTGAGGGCATCTAGCTCAATGCTCTTATTTTACAGAAGAAAAATGGGGCACAGAGAAGGAATGATGTGCCCAACACTGGCTACAGGTCCTGTCTGTGGTGAGAAGGGAGACGGAGAGAAGTGGCCATGGTCCCTACCCATGGCACTGAGGAACTGAGCAGAGGAGAGGTCACTGGTGAGTCCCAGCTAAAAGGGAAGGAAAGGCCCCAGCCTGGGGTCCTCCGGATGGACTCGGCCCCTCTCCTCACCGAATATAACCAACTTGAGGCCGGTGCAGCAGCTGCCAGCGATAGGAGGTCTTGTCACGCCAGCCCACATTTCGTGGGTCAGTCCATAACAGCCGTACCTGGTCAGGGGTATGGCCAGTATGCCACAGGGCATTCCGGAGGTGCTCACCTGGGCCAGACACTGATGTCACTGCCTGAGGGTCATTGGCAAAGACACTAGGTCAACCATAGGACCAGAGAGAAGGGAAACACAAGGCTGGTACGTACAGATGGGAAGGGAGTCAAGGAGGCCCACAGAGCCGACCTGCAGACCAGAGTCCTGAGGATTCCCGATCAGGCAGGAGAGGAGGCCCTGGGGTTGGCAGGGGAGAGCTTTGGGAACAGGCCTAGGTTGGAGAAACTGGGCAGCTGGGTTACCTTGAGCTGCAGCCCCGGCTGGGCAACAGCACGGAAAGGTGTGGCCTGCCAGTAGGTCTGCTCTGTCTGCTTCCACATGACCACATAGAAGCGGCCACTGTCCTGGTAACTGAAGAGAAAACCTGCGTAGTCATCGTCAGTCACTGTGTTCACATGGAAGGTGCCTTCAAAGTCCACACCATTGAAGGCTGTGTATCCTGGGGTGGGGGTAGGGGTGGGGTAAAGGTCAGGGGCAGCAAATGGCCCACCGCAGGAGGACTGGGAAGGGGTGCCTGCAGTATGTGTGGCCAGCTTGTCCACTGCCTTCTCTGTTGCCTTTGCCCATCTTTCCCCTCCCTTTCCTCCCCCATGCTCTGTCCCTGAAGAATTCTTCCATTTGGAAATTATTGAACTGGATGATCCCTTACATACCAACTGCCAGGCCAGGGTCACTGTTCATGGTCTGAACGATTTCCATGCCCTGGGGTTGTTCAGGAAAGAAAAAAGCCCTGATCCAGGTGTACTACGCCACCTAGGCCCTACCTGGTGGTCTGGCCTGACAGTACCTGCCCAGCCAACTGCCCTGAGTCTAAGTACCTGATTGAGAACGACCCAGTTTGGGTCAATCTGAGCATCACCCTCAGGATCCAGGACGACGGTCTGATAGGCTCGGAAATCCGTGAGGGTTACCTCTGCACTTTCAGGACACACATCCAGGGGGTCGACTACAGCATCATTGTCAAAGTCATCCTCACACACATCACCAACACCATTGCCTGGGTAGATAAGGCTAGGAGCTCAGGAAGGCCTGGCCACTGCCAATGGCCAACACTGTCACCTCCTGAATCTTGCATTCCTGACTTCTCCCTACCTGCCCTTCCTTACTGCCCTGCAGGGCTTACTACCTCCCCTGAGCAAAGTCCAAAGCAGTCCAACCCTCTTTGGAGCAAGCCTTACCATCTGAGTCTTTCTGATTGGGATTGGGTACTAGACGACAGTTATCAGGACCGGGAGGCACATAATCTGGGACACCGTCATTGTCATCATCCCCATCACACTCATCTCCAAGTCCATCGTTGTCTGAGTCCAGCTGGGAGCTATTTGGCAGCTGTGGGCAGTTGTCCTTGGTATCCTGATGACCATCCCCATCGCTGCTCAGAAAAACAGTCACCAAATAATTGCTGTCCAAAGACCCCCCATCCATCCTTTCTTTCCCTGTCTTCTGCTTAGGGGAGTCTTGAGCCTGCCCTCCATCCAGACCCCTTGCAGCCAGCCAGATGTGAAGGTCCAGCAATAGGAATGGAAGGGAGATTATGGGAATAGAGGATGAAGACTGAGCCATAGAGAGAAGTGAGAATGGACTAGAAGAAAGAAAAATATCCCCTGGAAGACTGTCTCTTGGCCAAGACCCCACCTGTCTTCATTGGTGTCACAGACATCTCCCACCAGGTCACTGTCTGCATCTGTCTGAGAGAGGGGCCTGATCTCACCATCTCCTCTTGATAACTCTGAAGATGGTGACCCACTTCCCATCCAAAGGGCTGGGGCTTTCCACTGATGACCCTTCCCCTCCCCTGTACCTGGGTAGGATTGCTCATTTCAGGGCAGCTGTCACAAGCATCTCCCACCCCATCCGCATCCCTGTCTGTCTGTAGCGGGTTAGGTACTTTAGGGCAATTGTCCAATCCATTGGGGATGCCTAGAAGACATGGGGGAAAGCACAGAGTTGTTGCTAGAACACGTCTCACTCTTCTAACTTGGTGAACTTCCTGAGCTTGGTCTCCGTTATGTTGGTCATCTCCTCTGACCCAGGCCAGCTCCCACAGCATGCCTCCCAATTCTCATAGACCTCCTAGCTTCCCTGACTCATCCCCTCTATCCAAATTCCCAGCCTGCCCCTGAGCCCCAGGCCTGCACCATCCCCATCCACATCGTTGTCACAGGCGTCTCCTTCTCCATTGCCATCTGTGTCCTTCTGGTCATTGTTGGGAACATTGGGGCAGTTGTCACAGGCATCACCAAATGAATCTGTATCTGAGTTCTGCTGGTCCTTGTTGGGGAACAGTCGGCAGTTGTCCTGGTCAAGAAATGAGAGGGAAAGATCCACCTGTCCGGGGCCACAGGTTTAGAGCTCCCTAATCTGGAGTTCTGGAACCTTCTTAGAGCACTGTCAAGGGGCAGGATTATGGGAGAGGCCAGAGAGAACCGAACAGGAGGAAGAGAGCAGAGGGCAGGACGGTCTGGGGACCACCTCAACATTCTTGATCCCATCCCCGTCAGCATCTTCATCACACTGGTCCCCCACGCCATCATTGTCAGCATCTTCTTGCCCAGAGTTAGGTGTCAAAAGGCAGTTGTCCTGAAGTTCAGGGGGAGGGAGAGAACGGATGAGTTCTGGCCTGACCCAGCCTGGGGCTCCCCACCACACTGGTCCACCGGCCCCTGCACCTGCTTGCAGTGTTTGTTGTTATCCATGCAGGGCAGCGCCTGATCCGGGTAGCCGTCAATGTCTGTGTCAGGCCCACACACGTTCCCGTTCCCGGCCCAGCCCACATTACACTGGGGTGGGTGACACAAACAGCAGGAATTAGCAACTTGGGATAGTTTCCCATGCCCCACCACTCCCTCTCTAGGCCCTACTTTTCCCACTAGCCAGTTCCTGGGCCCAGACCCACCGCCCTTTTCCACGAAGTCCTCCAACCTTAAATATGTTCACTAGTCTTCGCCCTTTCCCTACATTTCCTTCCCTTGTCCTTCCCAGCCCACCTGGCAGGACACTGCACCATTTCGTTCAAAGAGGCAATGAGCATGAACGTGGCAGGGGCTGTGGGCTGGACTGAAACAGGTCCTTGCTGGGAGGCAGCCCTGGGTCTGGTTGCCCAGGAAACCCTGGCGGCAGGGACCACATCTGAAAGATCCCTGAGAGAGAAAGTAGAGTCGGGAAAGAGGCTGGGGCCACCAGATGCCCTGGACTGGCACTGCCCTCCCTAAGGGTATAGCACCTGCCCTCACAGCCAACAGGGCATATTAGTTTCTCCTTTAGGCTCTCAGGACAATCTTTCAAAGTAGATAATAGCCCCATTTTTCAAATAAGGAAGCTTGAGAAGGTTAAATAACTTGCTAAAAGTCCCTGCTGTTAGAGGCAGTAGGGTCCCTGTGAATACGGACTCTGTAGAACCTCAGGGAAGGAGGAAGAGAGCAGGAGATTTGACGATGGGTCATACATTTCTAACACCACCCCTGGAGACAGGGTGTTCAGCTCACCATGGTGTTGGTGCAGATGGAGTTTGGGTCACAGCCACCATTGTTACCGTCGTTGCATTCATCAATGTCATTGCAGACCTGAAGGGACAGACCTTGGGTGGAACCAGACCAAGGGTAGTTCTCCGCAAATACAGGAGAAGGCATTGGTGTGGCCTTATCATGAGCATTAATAAGTCCAGACCCCAAGCCAATATAAAGCCAGCCTCACCCCATTTATCACCAGTGTCCCATGTCCCACCCAGAATCCCCTTCTCTAGACAGACTGTCCATCCTGACCTGTTTGCTGGCCCGGGCATAGTCAATTCCCACACCAGACACCCGGGTGCCCTTGTAGCCTCGAGGACAGGCCTCACAGTGGAAGCCGGGCATAGTGTTGACGCAGCTGGAGCCCGGGAAACAGGGGTCAGCGTGAGCACACTGAGGGCAAGAAAGCAGATATGAGGCTTCTCTCCAGAGAACCTCAGCCTATGATCCTGGAACCAGTGTTCCTGTTCTCTCTGCTCCACAAGCCTCCCTCTGATTTGCAATCTGTAATTGTACCCCTTGCTCAAACGGCCCTTCCACTCCCCAGCTCCTTCCATGTGGCCCTCCAGTCTTCTGCCTACCTCCCATCTCACTTTTTTGCTGGTCTCTTGACTTCTAACCCCCAGATTCCTCTGCTTCCAATCAACATTTCCCCAGCCTCTTGGGCCCTTCCTGATACCCTCACCCCAATTATCTGCACCCATGTGGGCTCTGCCTCCCCCACCTCATTGATGTCATCGCAGTGGGTGCCGTTGCCCTGCAGGCCTGGGGGACAAGGCCCACAGCGGTAGCCAGGATACTCGTACACTTCCATGCAGTCCACACCTCGGAAGCAGGGGTTGGGGCTGCAGTGGGAACGCTGTTCATGGAAGCCTGGGAGGCAGGGACAGTCAGAGCTACCCAGAGATCACCAGTCAAATGGTTAGAAGGGGAAGCCAAAGCCACAGGTGGGCAGCAGAGCGGTGCCATCTGGAGCCCTCCCCTGCTCTCCCACTCACCGCACACCTGACACTCCATGATGGTGTTTCGGATCAAAGACATTTCCTTCACCTAAAAAATGGGAAGGAGTCAGCTCTCAGCATCTGCCACCCCACCCCTGGACTGGTAGCACCCTCGGCTGGCCCACCCAAACCTGGTCTCGGATATCATCCCGCAGCTCCACCAGGATCTGGTTGAAGAGGGTGAGTTGGGTGACCAGCGCCTTAGTCTGCTCTCCTGTCAGGGCCCATGTGTGGAGAGGCTCAGAACTGGGTCATCAGCCTTGAACCCTCCAAGGGCAACAAGCCACTGCTGCCCATCCCCTACCTTTTAAGACCCACCCACACCTGACTGAAGAGGACTTGGTTCCAGGCAGCTGCTCAAGCCTGGGGCCTCCTCCCCACCCTCACCCCTTCCCCACCTCATGGCCTACTCACCTAGAATGGATTGCAGTGCACTGGCCACTAGAGAGAAGAGAAGACATGGTCAGGGGGAAGGAGAAAGGCTGGTGGGAAGGAGAAAGGAAGAAGGGAACAGGGCTGGAGCCTTAGAATAAAGATGAGATACTACATAGCACAAGGGCAGAGTTGGTTAGAAAGCAGCACCAATTTTTTTGTCTTGCTTTTGGGGTGCTGGGGATGGAACCCAGGGCCTCACAGGTTAGCCAAGAGCTCTATCTCAACCACATCCCCAGCTAGCACCAGTTCTGACCCTCTAAGGGGAGTTGCCTTATAGGTAGTCAAAATCCAAATTCTTGTTGGGCACTGTAGTGTACATCTGTAATCCCAGCAACTTGGGAGGCTGAGGCAGGAGGATTGGAAGTTCAAAGCCAGCCTCAGCAAATTAGCAAGGCACTTAGCAACTCAGTGAGACCCTGTCTCTAAATAAAATATAAACAAAAAAGGCTGGGGATGTGGCTCAGTGGTTAAGCATCCCCAGGTTCAATCTCTGGCGCACACAAAAAAATTCCCCTGGTTCTCAGGCATGGAAGTAGCAGAATGGGTCCCAGTGAGAGGCCACCCAAACCAGGACAAGGGCCCCAGTACATTCCATTTCTGCCTTCCCAAGCTTCCTCCAAGAGCTCTTCCTGTATAAGAGCCTTCGAGTATCTGTCAGAGAGACCAGGCAGATGGGCAATGCTCAGAGACACTGCTGGTAGACGGCAGTGACCACGAGGACCTACAAAAACCTGAAGCAAGGATCTTGGCCAAGACCAAGAAAGTGCCTTCCTCCCCGTTGTCTTCCAGGGATCCTCAGAATTGGACCTCTCTTGGGTCATGGTACTTTTCTGGCCTAGGCTGGGTGACCTGAACAGGGACACCTGTTTTTTTTTTTTTTTACTCAAACTTCCCATATAGGAGATCATGGAGTTGAGGGTAAAAGATTGGGTCAGAAGTCCCAGGAATAGATGAGCCAAAGAAATGGGTGTTAGGGGAAAGGAAATCAGAAGGACAGAGTCACTGGAAACCACAGAACCCATGGCCTCATAATAGGAGTCTCTGTTACCTGCACTGTGGATGGATTCGTCCCCTTGGAATGGACATTCACTCAGGGCTCCTACACGGGCCATGGACCCCCCCAGAATGATTTTCATTGATTCCACAAAGCCCTGGGGGGGGGGAGAGGACAGCAGGTAAAGTAGTTCTACTAACTCCTCCCCCCACTGGTGCAGACTGTCTCCACACAACTTGGAGGGTCTTTCCTGCTCACCTGCATCCTCAAATAAGCCTTCTGTCCGGTCCTAATCTCCAGCCCACTGACCTCTGCTGGAGGAATGGGGGCCAGTGCTGGGAGGCCGGCATGTTGGTCACCCAGTTTGCAGTCCACGTAGAGCTGCAAGCCAGGGCTGGGTCGGGAGGGACCTCGGAGTCGCAGGAGAGCTGTGTGTGTGCGGCCATCAGCCAGGCCTGCTTGCTGTAAGTTCACTGCGTGGACTTTGCCATCTTCCCGCTGGTACCGCACCAGTACTGCCCGAGAGGGGAGGTCAGTACGGGCACTATCCCCCATCCCCTGGGTCCCACTGAGCCGTGGATCAACTCTTCTGGACACCACATCTCTGGGGTTACCATCCCTAAATCAGCTATATATATCTCAACACTTTGCGCATAATAGGTATACAAACAAATGTTTTCAAATTGGTTCAGAGACAAGGACTTTCTTAGTCTTCAGTGCATCATATCAACCTATCCTCCACCAGGATGGCAGCTAGTTCTATACCCACTGACCTGTCCAGGGATCTGAGGGATCTCTGTCACTGCTGGAGCACAGAGATGTCTCATCCTCTCTCTGGGAATCCTTAAGTACAGCCTCCCATACTTATAAATACCAGACCTCACCTTGCTATTTGGGCACCTGACCTCCTGATTTACTATGCATTCCATAACCCCTACTGTGCCCCTTGGTGCCTGGCCACAGCCTGATGGAACCATGGTTCCCAGAGGAGGTCAAGAAGAATTAAGAGGCACCTGATGTGGGGATGAGGGAGAGCGCTCAAGGGAATCACTGCTGCAGAAAAGAAGATGCCCACCAGTCACCTTTGTTGATCTTGCCCACAACAGAGGCCTCCAGCCATCGCGTGTTGTCTTGGCGAGAGTAGAGGCCAAAGAGGACACCACCCTGCTTAGGGGGCAGGCGGAAGGTGGACAAGAGGTAGATGTCCCCAGCAGTGAGTAGAGCTGTCCGGATCTTCTCTGCCACAGCTACCATTTGCCGGGACTCACCCAGAGTCAGCAGGTCAATTACTGGCCAGGCAGGGGTTATCAAGGTCAGAAG